ATAATACCCTTCTGTCTCCACTTCTCAAGTTTTATGTCTGGGATATATTATTCAAGGGCTGTGAGATATGTTTATTCTGGGATTTGATTATTAATTCCGCAGTAAATTTTCATTTTTGTCCACGTGTCTAGGGTATCATCTAAAGTAATGCTAGACTTTCTAGCATCTTTTAATGTTTTTGCATTCTTGGGTGGGCACAGAAGAGAGCTCATATCTTTTACTTGGCATGCATTGCTTTCTAATTGGTACCAACCCTCTTCTTTTTGTGCTCAGTTGAATATTATATATATGGTATTATATTGGTGTTAGCTATGTATATATTCTTGATTGAGGGAAAATTCACCCCACAAACAGAGGAGTGCTGAGTAAGTATTTTTTTTAATTTAATCTAGGTTTCTTCCCTCTCCATATAAAATTTGTAAAGCTTTTTTGAGCTAGGCTTAACCACCAGTCCGAGAATTTAAGTGGTATCATCTTAAACATTTATGACCATTTAAGGATGATATATGCATTACACCAACCAGAGAAGTGGAGCGTGTAAGGTGTACTATAGAATACACCTACCCTTTGTTGGGTCGTAGGGATTAAGCTGTTAAATGGAGAAAAAAAAGGGACTAATAGTGTAATAATGTCATTGGACTGTAGGTATCCAATGGTCCAACTCACATGTGAATGAATCTTCCAGGACTGGCTCAGATCCAAATTTCGCCAAATGTTTAAAAAATTAATAGTCTGCCATAAGAGTGTAAGAAAAAATATTTCTCTCATTTTGTTTAGATCTTTTGATAATTTAATTACCAGATATTCCATGTGTTTTTTTTATCCAAGTGAAATTTAGATCTAATATGATGTTTTATTCTAGCCTCTATATTTAGGTCCATGATTGTGGATTTGTCAATATTTGTCTTATAGTTTGTTACTGAACTGTAGTCTTCAATTTCAGCCATAGGGTGATCTAATGAGATAGATGGGTCTGCAGTTGCTAGTAATATATCATCTATATTTAGGGAGGCATGAGGGCCTCAGGGTGGCCCCGTGCAGTGCATTGAAATTCCAACACAATCAATATGAGAATTTCATAAAGATTCTATGTTTATAAAATACTCATTTTTTCAGGAAGGTGGCAATGGCCCTTTCATTATTAAAGGATCACTATAGGATCAAGAACACAAACATGTATTCCTGACCCTATAGTGTTAAAACCACCATCTAGCCACCCTGAGCCCCTCATGCCTCCCTAAATATAGAAATCTTACTGTATTCAAGCCTGAAGCTGTAACTCTGCATGCTGTTTGCCTCAGAAAAAAATAAGCAGTCTGCTGACATCATCAAAAGTGGTAGCCTGATCCAATCACAATGCTTCCCCATAGGATTGGTTGAGACTGACAAAGAGGCAGATCAGGGGTAGAGCCAGCACAATTCAAACACAGCCTGGTCAATCAGCATCTCCTCATAGAGATGAATTGAATCAATGAATCTCTATGAGGAAAGTTCAGTGTCTGCATGCAGAGGGAGGAGATACTGAATGTTTGGATGCATTTTAGGCAGCTATGACCCAGGAAGGATCTCTAAAAGCCATACGAGGAGTGGCCAGTGAAGTTATCACTAATGTAATGTAAACACTGCATTTTCTCTGAAAAAACAGTGTATACAGCAAAAAGCCTGAAGGTAATGATTCTACTCACCAGAACAAATTCAATAAGCTGTAGTTGTTCTGGTGAATATAGTGCCCCTTTAACTTAGCATTTGTATTCAATGAGTACTGTTTCAGTTGTTGTCCAGAACATAACTCTAACGGCACCGCCATTTAGGCTGACAACCTTATGGACAAGTCTACCCTCTCACTCTGCAGCTCTGCTAAAGTTGGCAGACCTGCAAAGAAGGAATTAAGCGATACAGCATACACCCAGCTTAGTTGATTGAAATAACACTGGCATTATTAATTGATGCCACGTTCCTGTGAAACATTGGAGTGCATTCACTTAAAACTGAATTGAGTGAATGAAAATTCAAACAGTGACTATATCCCAGGTGGAAAAATATTTACCTTTTGCCTCAAATTTGCCATTCAGCTTTGAAATCACTACAATATGGTGTTTAGTGACCTCAGTCATGATTATTCATCACACTGAGAATTCAAGAACACCCAACTGCCCAAATAAAAAAAAAAAGTATTTTTTAATCACTATTTAGTAGATATATCCCCAACGCAAACATGCAGGCATTTAATTATGCATTTTTTAAAATGGGAAGTATATCTAAAAGCAGCTGCAGATTGCTTGGCTGCAGCCTTATTTTCAGCTTTGCTTTTAGTGTGAATAATCTGGCCTATAATATGAAATTTAATTTGGATTCACAGTTTAGTAAATGACCCTTTATGTGTAATCCGGCCTCCATCTAAAAGTTCACACAAAAATACCAGATATTTTCTTTTTATCTGTTAGACAGACTTACCAATGGATGGTTTATTTTAAGCTCTTTTTTTACCACAGACATATCCTTTGATATTCATGTTATTCTTTTTCTTATTGGCAAGAGGATCAATGAAAAGGATATAGAGAAGTGGAGACAGAGGGCACCTTTGTCTGATCCCGTTACTCAACTTAAACCAATCTGAGCATAAATTGGGATTGGTAACAAATTTGCTTGTAGTATTTCCATTGGGTAAGTACCTTGGGAGACTATATAATTAAAACTTTTTGCTAATTGATTGCTTATTTGTTCTTTAAAGACCTTATAAAATAGATTGCCAAAACCATCTGGGCCTGTGGATTTTGTTTTCTCTATTTTTGAGATTTCTCTTTCTTTTTCTTTTCCAGTTATGGGATAATTCAGTTCTTCGCTTTGAACTTCTGAGATGTTATTTAAATTGGCACTTACTATTTATTCTATTTTTTGTTTATTGTTGTTTCCTTTAAGATAATACAGGGAACTGTAATAATCAGAGAAACATTGACCTATTTTTTCTGGAGTAATTTCGGTAATTTTGTTTTTAATAATTTTTGTAATTCGGTTTCTTCTTTGTTTATTTCTCAATTGATTAGTTAGAAGTTTATCTGCCCTATTGCCTTTAGAGTAATACTTGATTTTTTCATCTTGATTTTTTTTTGCGATTAATTTTTTATTGGCCTTTGCTAATTGATTAAAACAAATATACAATTTAGATAAAGAGAGGTAATTATTAGATAAAATCTAATAAAATATTCAGGAGTAGTCAATAATGTACACCTTTAAATATTTAGCCTTATAAGCTGAAAAATAGAGAAAACACTATGCAATATGCTTGCATTAAATGGTTAAAGGACCACTATAGTGCCAGGAAAACATACTCGTTTTCCTGGCACTATAGTGCCCTGAGGGTGCCCCCACCCTCAGGGACCCCCTCCCGCCCGGCTCTGGAAAGGGGAAAAGGGGTTAAACTTACCTTTTTCCAGCGCTGGGAGGAGAGCTCTCCTTCTCCGATCCTCCTTCTCTCCTCCCCGTCGGCTGAATGCGCACGCACGGCACGCATAATGCTTTCCTATGGACGCTTGCGTGCTCTCACTGTGAAAATCACAGTGAGAAGCATGCAAGCACCTCTGGTGGCTGTCAATGAGACAGCCACTAGAGGATTAGGGGGAAGGCGTAACCCATTCATAAACATAGCAGTTTCTCTGAAACTGCTATGTTTATGAAAAAATGGGTTAACCATAGCTGGACCTGGCACCCAGACCACTTCATTAAGCTGAAGTGGTCTGGGTGCCTAGAGTGGTCCTTTAAAACTTTTTTTAAAATAAAGTTTGGTATTATATAATACTCAGCAAAACATATAGATGCAATTAAAAATCTCAATGAATGTAGCTAATCCAAATAATATGATAATGTCCAATTTGCTGCCTATAGTTCAAATATATTATTTGTTTTAGTCCAATAAGTAACAGTCTCTGGATGGATACTATTGTATCAATAAAACAACAGTCATTTGATATGTAAGCTAATTCAGCTTCCTCCAGTTATAATAGAACTGGGATATGTATACTGAATTAGTTTAATTTATATAGTACAATATTAGTAAGATATCCTTGTAGGTTCAACAGTAATAATAATAATATTTGTACCCTTCACGAATAAAAAATACCATTACTAACAGGTCATGGTACATGACCCTTAGTTAGATGCAGATTGCTCCGTTACAAGAAAACAGAGTTGCAAAACCATAGTGCTTACTGCATAAAAAGTTTTATTGAAGAAATTAATATAATTAAAAATGCACTCACACTTGGTAAAATAGCTTTGTGCTATACTGGAGTCAGGATATATGGTGTAGGCAGCTATTGAAGATCTGCAGTCCGGACGGCAGATGAATGGACTGTCTGTAAGCTGTGTGCGTATCACCGATCTTTTCTCCTGCGTTCCAAGTGTAGCTTGGTTGGTTTTACGGTAAGTAAACGTTAGGTAAGGACGTTACAGCATTGCATTTTGGCACTTAGTGGGGATGGGATGACGTAGCAGACGCACGCACGACGGTGTTTCACGGGCGTTTTTCTGGCCGGGAGGAAAGGGTACTGAGCATCGCGGGACAATGAAGAGGAGGTCTGGAGGTATATGAAGACAGTGTTAGGAGTCTATGCGGTGTGCGGTAGAGTGATGAGCGCTTCCAGAAACTTTGACCGACAGCAGTGAAGTGGGTGACTACACGGTCCGGAACGCCAAGACCAGGTAGGAGCCGAAACAGCCAGGAAAAGAGAGGCAGCGAGACCCAGATATCCCTGTGAGGGGAAGCAGCAGATTAAGCACTGTTTAAAAAGCGGGTCTTTAACCAAGTGACATCCAAAAAGTAAAGAAAAAAGTAAACGAAGGTGGTGAGCAAGATCCCAGATTCCCCATGAGAGGCTGTGGCAGATAAGTGTATAAGTGTTGTTTAAAAGTGGATGCCCAACCTTTTTTTATGCTTAATGGAGTGACATCTAAATAGAAAAAGTGTGAGAGAAATTTTTCCTTTTTTTTCCTACGTATGTACGACCATAATATAGCGCGATCCGTGTAGTCGCTAGATGTTCAACAAAAATTTACTAAATAGTAAATATGAGAGATACCTAGCTGGACATCTAGCGACTACACGGATCGCGCTATATTATGGTCGTACAGTGCTACATATTTTATTGAATTGTCTTAGTTTTATACTATCCATTCAGCTTGCCAGCACAGGACTAGATTGTAGGTCCTGTATTTATAGTTCACTTTGGCTTGATATTGCTTCCTTGTTAAGCCTCTGACTGTGAACGATTTGTTAACATTATAGCACTTGATTCTATTACATAGCTCTTAGTAGCTTTGATTGTCATTTTGGTGTTTCCAAATCAGGATTCTGGCAGATTACTGTTATTAGCTTTGTTCCAGATTATCTGTCTGGATTTATTTTTTCTTGTGTTTTTTGTATTTATTCCCCCATTCTCCCTTGTCTGTATGTCCCTTGTAGATTCTTCTCTGTCTGTATTAGACAGTTATATTTAGATGTCTTAAACTTTTTGGGTTAAGATAAAGTATTTTAGAGATTTTTACTAATTCTTCAGTTTAGGGACAGATTGCTCTCTCTCTTTGTCTCATTATTTTAGGGTTACCATTATCTGCTCCCTCGAATTTTGGATAATCCCCCAGGCCAACTTGTCTCTGTACATTAATAAAAGAAGACCTAATTAGATATCATAAAAAGGTATAGGAAAAGGTATAGTAACAAGAAAATGAAACTTACCAAAATATGGCTACAAGGAAAACACAAGATACTAAACAAAGTTCAAAAAGATGGAAACAAATAATGAAAGAGCTACAGAAAGAAGAGCCTCTGATTTTTTTCTCCCCGCAATTAAATAAGGGAAAAAATCCTAAATCAATACATAAAGAATCACTACCATTACTTGACACTAAGGAAACGGAGATAGACAAAATAACTGAGAATTCATGGAATGAAAATGTCTCTATCACAACTAGAGAAAATAAAGGAAGAAATAAGTATGCACTCAATGGAAATTAAAAGAGAGGTCCAGAATATAGGGAGAAGAATGGAAGAACTGGAAGATAAAACAGATCAAATTGATATGCAATAAAAGAACAATACTGACAAAATAAATATCTTGGAAGGAAAACTAGAAAATATAAAGGAGAAGTTCCCTGATCTAGAAGACAGATCCAGAAGAAATAATCTCAGGCTTAGGGGGATACCGGAGAGCATTATACACACAAAATTGGAAGGCTACTGTGAGGAATTCTTTAAGTTTCTGGGGATTGATCTGGATACAGAAAAAAATGTAATGGAAAGATGCCACAGAACAATAAAACCTAGTAAGGTCACAGACCAATCCCCAAGAGATGTGATTATCTGCCTACGGTCATACCGGGTCAAGACACAAATTATGAAAGCTATTTCAGTCACTAAAAGACTCAGCATATCAGCAAATTAAGATCTTCCAAGATCTCTCTTTTCAGATGAGATCTCAAAGAAAATCTTTTGCAATACAAACAGCGATACTTAGGGAAAAAGAAATCAAATATGCATGGGGGTTCCCGACACGCATAAACCTAACCTACGACAATCAGAGGTTAACCTGTGAGAAACCGCAAACACTAAAAAAATGGATGCAAGAAAAGAACATAATATAGGAGAGGAAGGGAATTTTTTTTTCTGAGAATTCTAAGCACAGGAAATGAAAAATATAGTAGTGAATCAGTATATGGGCACTAATCTAATCGCTACTTGTCACAGTAAGAAAAATTCATAGATATGATTGATGAATAAAAGAATGAAGGGAAAGAAATATAGATTTAGAAAGATTAATTGAATTTAAAAAATACATTTATTTATTTATTTTTTCTTCTCCCTCTTGGGAGGCCTAAACACAGGAATTGAAAAACACAATGGCAAATTAATATATAGGCACTAATGTAGTTGATATTTGTCACAGGAAAGAAAGAAAAGGAAATTTGATGAAGAGAAGAGGTCAAAATATCACAGATAAGATAGAGGAATAAAGGGATCAAGGGGAAGAAATTTAGATTAAAAAAAGAATAACTGGAATAAAAAGATATTATTTATCTATATATTTATTAAATTTTTTCAGTTCTAAGCACAGGAAAGGGAAAAACACAGTAGTAAATCACTATATAGGCACTAATTAATTGCTACTTGTTACAGTAAGATTAATTTTTATTTTTTTTCCCTTCTCCACTTCTTAGAGATATATTTCTCCTGGCCAAGAGAATATTTTAGCTCACACATTGTTGGCAATTCTGTGAGTTTAAAGAAGGGGTTATATGCGACACTCGCGAGAGGGATACTGTCGCTACTTGGTCTTTCTCCCTGGGGCTAAGCAATGACCTGGTGTGCATTTAAAGTGGTAATAAGGGGCCACCTTATAAACCTAACAGCCAAAGAATTTAAGCTGAATGAGAAAAGGGCTAACCTGGCGGGGCTATATATAAAACTGGATGACTTACTTTATCAAAATAAAAGAAACCCCTCGAATAGTATTACCAATACAATAACAGAAGTAGAAAAAATTTATAAATGACCAACTGATGGCAACTGATGGTAAAAGCTAATAAGGCCTTAATAGGCATGAAACAAAAATGGTATTACATGGGAAACAGAGCAGAAGCACTGATGTCAAATAGACTAAAGAAAGAAAAAGTTAAAAAGGTTATTAATAAAATTGTACACAATGGGGAAACTTTATTAAACCCAGAAAAAATAGGAGAAGACTTTAAAAAATATTATCAGGATTTATACAACATTTCGAGTCAAATAAATAAATTATACATCAGAGAGTTCTTAAAAACTATTTAAATCCCAAAAATCACAGATCTACAACTACAAGAATTAAATAAAATATTCAAGGAGGATGAATTAATCTCCTGTATTAATAAACTTAAAAAAAAAATAACATCACCAGGACCTGACGGGTTTGATAACCTCTTCTATAAATTATTGAAAAACAATATCAAAACAGATTTGATCGAAGTTTTTAACTCCTTTGGAACAACTGAAAGGATTCCAGCAGAATTTCTGCAAGTGAATATAGTCCCAATTCCTAAGCCAGAAAAAATTAAGAACTACCGCCCAATTTCCCTCCTAAATACCAATATAAAGCTCTATTCGGCTATGATAGCAGAACATTTGAAAAGAATTATACCAGAGGTGATAGATAGGGACCAGGTGGGGTTTGTCCCAGGTAGATCATTTACCCATAATATAAGAAGACTGATTGATGTTTTGAATCATGCGGGAAGATCGGGGGCTCCCATGTTGGCCCTATCTTTAGATGCTGAAAAAGCATTTGACAGGGTCAACTGGGAGTTCATGAGGCAAACCCTTCAGGCATTTGGATTAGAGGGAAGACTTTTCCAGAATATCTCTGCTCTTTATACAGTACCTACGGCTAGAGTTGTAGGAAATGGCTTCGGATCTGAATGGTTCTCATTGCTAAATGGAACAAGACAAGGGTGTCCCTTGTCTCCGGTACTCTATATCATGGCATTAGAACCATTGGCTTTAGCCATAAGATAAGAGCAGAGGATAGTAGGTTTTGAATTTAATAAAGAAATTATAAAAATAAATTTATACGCTGATGACATTATCTTAACAATACAAAAACCCCTACAATCTATAACACAACTTATGGGAATCATTGGAAGATTTTCCCAGGTATCTGGATATATAATAAATATAGAAAAATCAATTATCTTAGCTGTAAATGTAAATAAAGAAGAAGAAAATGAGATTATGAAGAAATTTGACTTCGCATGGGTCGAAAAATCATTTAATTATTTAGAAATTAATATCTGTGCTGACCCACTGAAAATAGTAGAGATCAATTTTCTCCCATTGCTTATTAAAATGAATAAACTCCTAAAGGGTTGGAAGGATCTAGAATTCTCGTGGTGGGGCTGTATTAATATTATTAAGTCTTAAATCTTACCAAAATGGCTATATTTGTTTAGAATGATCCCCCTGAGTGTCCCCGATAGTTGGCTGCTATTAATACAACAGGCCTGGTCTAAGTTCATATGGCAAGCAAAAAAACAAAGAATTGCAATAAAACTCCTCTCGATTAATCAGTCAAAGGGAGAGGTAGTATTCCCAGTCATACAACAATACTATAAAGCGAGTATCCTTTTCCATAGTATCATTTCACAATTGGCTGGTGCTAAACTCGTAAGGTGGTATGAGGTGGAAAAGGAAATTGCAGATGGTAGGGATCTAGTAACACTTTTCTGGTTTGCTCAAGAAGGAGAAACAAATAAGAGCCAACCAAGTTCTAATAGTGTGGTAATAGAGTCCATTAGAGGAATGTGGAGTAAGAAAAAAAAAGTGCAGGATTTAAAAATCACATTATTAATACTCTGCCGATCTAAATACTAGAAAATAATATGCAAGATCTAAGACTAAATAATTGGAGAAGAGCAGGTGTACAAACTATAGAAGATATAACAGGACCGAGGGTTAATTCGTTTGAACAAATATGTATCAATTTCAGTCTCCCGGAAACTGAGAAATTGAACTATATGAGGATTAAAAGCTATTTGAAGAAAACTCTAAAGAGAAATGGTAATTCAATAATAAATTAGGAAACTTATTGAAAGGAAAGGACATGAAAAACCTATTAAATAAATGTAACTCAGTATTGAGACAACTAGAGGGTGACTGGACGTTTCCGGTGATAAAAAAATGGGAGAAAGATCTAAAAATACAAAAAATTGATGGACAGGACTGGAATAGAGCATGGCTGACAGTTGCTAGGCGCATTAAATGCCTAAATTTAGTGGAACTACATTTTAAGATCATTAACAGACTCTATTGTGTTCCTAGCCGTCTAAACAAAATAGACTAGAGTAAAACAGATATATGCTGGAGATGCGAAGGGGGAGTGGGAGATTGTGTACATATTTGGTGGAGTTGCCCTCCACTTAAGGAATTTTGGAAAGTGTTACCGGATCTAACTTCCCCTTTGCCCCGGAAATGCTTATATTACATTTAAATATTTATCAGTATAATGTAGACTTACAACACTTTTAACCATGCATTAATAGCAGAAAAGATTTCTATTGCTAGAAGGTGGAGAACTAAAAATCTACCGAATTAGGACATAGT